GTGTCCCACGCAGTATTGAAACGTGATCTGGTGCGGATGCATGACCGAAAGCCTTCAGCTAAACAAGTCCACTTAAACAACGCGGTCAGCATCCAATGTCGAACACTTAATGAGCTATTGATTTTGGGGAATTATTTACAGCTACAATATATTCTGCGGAGTGTTCTAAGAAGATCAGACGTTTAATTTAGTCTAGTTGGTTCATAAAGTGACTAATCCAAATATTACTTCAGAATCACTCCTACTATTTTCAGCTAACTTGTTCTGCTCTACATTTTCAGGAGCAGCATAACAAAAATTTTGTATTCACGCAGTGAAAGACGCTCTCTCACTACCAAGATGCAGACTTCAAGAGATAATAGTCAGTTGAGTCTGTTCAGAGAAGTTTGAGGTTTGAATCTGTGGACTTAGATGTTCATCGACCCTTCAAGGTTGTCCTCAGTATTTATGGTTATTTAAACGTTTTGTCACATGGTTCTACTTCATTCGTCGCACTAACGGGTTAGTTATTCTTTGAGTTCACTTACTTACTTGCGCTTTATATCAATACACTTAATTGTGCCTTATATTCTATACCGATTGCTGTACAACTTGGAGATTGAAGTAATAAGTACTCACTTGTATTGTAAATCTGAGGAACGTACTTTAGTATGTCGTGTTAATTTTTGCTTGATGTCTTAATATATGTCACAGGTAATTGCTACTAAAGGAAGGTTTTTATATAGATACACACACCAACTATATAATTACTAAGCTGCCACATTATACACATGTGTAATGTATAACAAGCTTGTTATACTTAAGTATATACTTATTCTTATCATGCACCTACATATATCACCTAAGAGCCATCGAAATTTCGACATTATTTAAAGAAAAGCCAATCAAATGTTTTTCACCTACAATTCTATTCTAGACGAAATATATATTTCGTATGGGATGTGAAGTTTTTCATTTTTTAAAGACAGAGAGTGAGAGTCAATGGAACTCTATCCGAATGGAAACCGGTCAGAAGTGGTGTACCCCAAGGCACCATCTTGGGCCCTTTACTTTTCCTTCTGTATATTAATGAACTACCTTTATTACTTAAGTCGTCGACGTTATTGTTTGCGGATGATGTTAAAATCTGGAGAACAATAAGAAATGAGACTGATCGTTGTTATCTACAAGCAGATTTAGACGAATTAGTTAGGTGGGCTCATGATTGGGGCCTGGAAGTTAATTCTAGGAAGAGCGTGTTCATGCACATCGGGCACGATATTAGTTACCACTATACCATTAATGGTACATCTCTGCCACGCGTTCATGCGCATAAAGACTTAGGAGTAATTATAAGTCACGACTTAAAAACTACAACGCACTGCAGTGCGGTTGCTTCCAAAGGCTATCGCGCGCTATGGTCGCTAGGGTCTTTCCAAACTCCCTTACGATGAGCGTTTAAAACGTCTAAATCTTTTCCCCTTATCTTATCGTAGGACGCGAGGTGACCTTATACTGGCATTTCGTATCTTTAATTATGATCTGGGTGTTAATATGTCTTACCTTTTTGCTCCCTCCAGCACTAATAATCTCCGGGGTCATAGCAAGAAGGTTCTGAAACCGCGATCTAATAAATTAAAGGTGGGGTCCCGTTTTTCTCATCGAGTGGTCAATGACTGGAACGCTTTACCAGAACAAGTGGTATCAGCACCATCAGTGAACATTTTCAAAAAGAAGCTGGACCTTCACTGGAAGGAAATCTGTCAGGATTAACACAGGTTCATCAACCTACTATCCTTATTACTGAAGACTGAAGACTGACTGAATAATATCTAAGCTCAATATAAGTGAAAATTTACAGTCGCTTATGCTTCCAAAGCACTATAATACTTATTAACCTTACTACCGAACAGTCATAATATTTTAACCCTGTTCTTTCTGTTGGAACTATAAAAGAGCTACATGGTACCAGAAAATAACACGTACTAGACTAACTCCAAACCTATCACATTTACATAGGAAGTCAACAACGTAAAAACTGAAATGAGCATCAATATTTACTGTCATTTAAAGCTATTTAATTATAAAAGTGGAATTTACAATACGACACCTGTGATCAAACTCTTTTGCCTTACACAGGCCATCTACCTTCGTCTTATGGTCATGGAGAGATACTGAGTAGTGCTTTATGTGAAGCGATCTCTTACAAGCATATAAGATAAATCTACTGCACCATAGGTAGCGCAAGCTAAAGCAACCTATGCAAGACTTTCGTGTTTATTCCAAAACTCCGTTAACCACCAATCCACGAGGGCTGGAGAAGATTGTGCGATAGGTGAAGTAGTCAAAACTTTCCATCAAAAATCAACCAGAAGGCAACGCTGTACTTGAAAGGAGAGAAACGTATCCTAACCAGTCTTTAATTGTTGCTAAGCGTGTTCAGGTGATCCAAGATCTTCCAACGGGGTCATTTACGTATTCTAAATAAGCGAGAAGTCGATTAATTATTAGTCAGTCTGTGAACACATCGCTTGTAGTAGCATGTCTATATCAAGATTAAATGTAAAATGCCGATCAAGTGACAATCTCTGTACACCAGTTTCCTTCTGCACCCAAGTTGTCAACCTCATTAAGACTTCAGAAATAAATTTCAGTTAATACTGCCCCACGGAACCCTCGTAATTAAGCCAGTGTGTAAATGAATCCAGCTATTTTACAGTTGTCTCCGCGAAAGTAATCCTACCCCGATATTGAAAAGTGTTTTGCGATTGCTTTAGCCTGAGGACATGTGTATCATTAACCACAAACCTGATTTTTTGGGTAATTATGTTGTTAAAGTGACGCAGTTGTAACTTGGAGTACTTAGCTCAACCCGATAGGGCTTAGCGTTGTACTTATTAGTGTGAAGGTTAATATTCCATAAGGTTCCATCAATGTTTTACAGAATATCATTTTGCAAATGTCATCGATTATCTACCGCAACGGTTGTTGCGTCGGTGTTCAAGCATTTGTGTTTACCATTAATCTATCTTCAGTTGTTTCATTTCACAACCATACAATATTTGTTAACTCTATGAGTTATAATCGCTATTTCAATGTTCCGGTACTTTCCCTCCGAAACTTTATATACACTATGATACATATATTCATCTTTAACCACTTTCGTATGTATAAGTTGTAAGCAGCTGATAAGAACGAAATAAAATAAATTCATATTATCCTGCACCAATCTTGGTTCTTGTTCTCTTTAAGATAATAAAAGGAAATATGTGTATGAAACATTTTTTGGAAGGTGACGACTCTGTGGTGCCTTTTGCGAAGCCACAGAGGGCTTTACTCTACACTTTTGTGATGTCTTGTTACTGGAGCTAGTATTCACCTATTTTACCGGGAACTGGCTTTAAACTTAGTCGTGTTCGAAATTTGGTTTCAACGGCATTTGTGGTCAGATTATGTACATCATTCCCCTTAGGTTCATGACTCCTTTAACCACTCACGATAATTTCAGTGCATATTATAGGTTAATTGGAGCCTAAGTAGTGAATTCAAAGAGAGCTAGTCTTGTACACATTTTTGACATCGGCTGCTGATATCAATACATTCAATCTTGGTTCCAACAAGTCTTGTTTTCCTTGTTGAATGGAGATGTATACAAATCCTGACTGATTAATTTTGTACCAGAGTTGATATAATCTCAGCTACTACTGCTGTATGCAATCTAGAAAGTCATATTCCCAATCTTTTACTTTTGCACCTTTTAAAACTGTTCAATGACGCTATGCACTCTTGTTTCCTTCTCAACTTTGTTTTGTGAAAGTCAAATTTCGTAGTCCTTAAAAAAATATAATGAATCAAAAGCACTAAACGTTTGTCTGGATACTATCTGAGCAAATGAACCATCAAATCGGCAATCGATCTGAAAGCTTATTGTCTGTCTGATCAGATTGTGCTTGTACCTGCCGATAAGCAGTTCCTACTAACCTTTTCCAACGTAAAAATAATCGGCACTAAAAAATCCTTGAAAATCTATAATATAACAATAATGATTTTATTTATAAAGATATAGCAGATCTCAATATCAGATTATAAGACAGTGTTTTCTGTGTCAAAAATATTGTTGAAGAAAGGGGTCTGAGATTTATCATAAACAGGATTGGATGTATATTCATGTTGAGCCTACTTTTTATTGATTTGGTCCATATAATCAGTTTGGTAATGATTAGTATTTTATATATCTTCCTTTTTTGTGAAATACAAACCACCCATCGGTAATAAATGTCGAAGACTATTTGCTGCAGAAAACATGCTGTATTGACCTTAACTCATCTGGTTCCTGTTGAGATGTATTGATAGCAAACTATTGCATACGGAATGTCATATAACCTCAGCATTATTATTCAGGCAAAACACTTATTAGTTATTGTTTTTTACAATTGTTGCATTTTATTTATGTAATCTAAGTGTTTTATTATCCCAAAATATGTATATTGATTTATTCATCGTCAGTCACTTCACTCGTCTCTCATCTGATGACTAGATTATTTTGGCTAACAACTAAAAACTTTACGTGATTGCATTTAAAGGTTTTGTCGATTTTTCCGTACCATACTTTGAAGTAACTTACAAATTTCCTAACACTGTTTCACTGTTTTATGTGTGATTGAGGAAGCTAACATTTCCTTTACATTTATCCACTTATCGGACGGTTTTGTTGAGGTATTAGCGATTCAATCCGAAGTTTCACAATTTCATATCAGGATGTCGTGACTTGTATGTTCATTGGTCTGTATAGCTGATTTTAAGCAGTGTTTTGGTTGATTATAGTTTACGTTTACTAATCCCGATGCAAAGCATAATACTCGAAATAGTCCTTAGTTCATGTCGTTTTCTAGCTAGTGTGAATAACTGTTTCAATGTTTCTTACTACAACTTACATAGGTTAATTATATTCATCTTCAACGTCCTCCATATCTACAACGTTAAAATTTCAAATTCGTCAATTCGTGTTTTGATTGAATTCTATGTCTGCAGTCAAGTTTACAATATCTAGTGATGACCAAGACGGTGTTCCATGCCCAGATTCTATTCCATTGACAGTTGACGAAATAACAAAAAGTATAGTCGGTCATCTTAAAACTCAGTGCTCCAAAATTCTCTCTGGATGCTGGTCTGATACAAATAATTTCTGTATTGAGCTATCTAAGTAAGCAAAGTCAGTCTTGATAAATATATTAAATGTTTATTTATCTAGCCGATTTAATTAGGAAGTAAAAATATATGTTTAATTAAAACAGCTGAGGTCATGAATCAATTGAAGCTAGGCCATCATGGAAAACCTGGAAGCACTGGACGGCCGTTTCGTTCTAGTATGGGACTCCTCAGCAGTGCGCATCCACGATCCCGCCTCACGAGATTCGAACTCAGGACCTATCAGTTCCGCGCGCGAGCGCTTAACCACTAGACCACTGAGCCGGCATCCAACAGTGTTAATGTCTAACTTCAACCGATCCACGAAATTGAACGACACACCCAACAATGTCTCCAGTGAGTCACTATCTCACAACAGACCTGCTTGAACTCCACTGGTCACTGCTTCTCACTAGAACTCCAGGAAATATCTCTTGAAGCCGGTTACTAGTGAGCATATGTTGATTAATACCGGAAGGGGTCTTGTGGATATTATAGTGATTTTAACAATTGAGATCATGAATCAGTTGAATGGTTTGCTCGAAATATAAAAATCTTTTCAAAAACACTCAAACATTTGTATATTGTAGTAGTGTTTTTGTTGAGTTTTCGGAGCTAGATGGTTTAACTGAGAAGCTTCCATTGTCGTTCTGTACATTATCGGCTTCGCGATTAAACCTTCCAGCTTAGGAAACTTAATACTTTAACAGCATCCACCTGAGCCGTAAATGATTATCATTTCAGTGTTTGTACATCCTTAATATCCGATGTTTAGATGATGATTTAATACTTTGTTGGCAAGTCGGTTATTCTAACCGTTATCTTTTTTATTTCTAGATTTAATTGTTTTGTCTACTTGGGGAAGTGAGGGGAACAATTCTTTTATCTTGTAGATGCAGAATTAACTGAATTAGTAGAAATATTTTTCGAAAAATACTGTTTTATTTGCCCGATGGAAATATGTATAGAGTAAATAGACTAATTTAACATGAATTATCCTCTCAATTCAGTTTTTTCGACTAGGCTATCTTTGGTTGAAATGAACTGCAACTGTATCAGAAAGCAAAGACAAATGAACAAAGTTTATTTACATTCTGAATAAAAATCAAGCTTGTGTCTTTCAGTTAGTAATTATTTTCCATAGCTCCAGTAAAATTTGACTAGATTTTAATCTTTTAATGTAAATGTGATAACCAGACACCTTGATCATTAACTGGAGTTATGTAATAAGGTTTATCGACAGCTTTGCCTATCTGAAAGGTTTAATATCGATCATTGTTAATAGGATCATAAGATATGATGGTGTTGGAGTTATCCAAAGCAAACATATAACATAACTATTTCTTCTGTGTATTTTAATTTAAATAAAGGATTCTTAACTTGTAAATCAGTCACCGTAGTTATGTAAACAGTTGTAATTCACTTTGTCACCTCACTGTGAAGAGAATAGAGATTTTTTTAAAGACTAATTGAAAACTCACTTAAAAGATGCTCTCATTAACTGAGTGAGTTAAATACTTCTTTAGGATATAGACACTACTATTTAGCAAGAGCGTGAGTAGGATTGTCAGTAGATATCATTATTTCATTTATTTGCATGAGGGCTGTGACACTGCCCGGGTGCCCAGACCGAAGCAGGTGGTTTTCTTAGGGGGCCACACCCCGAGCCTTTGACCTAAAGATCTGATCCACAAGACAGTGGAGCATCGTGAGGCGGTGCAGTCCCATGGTAGCCGGTGACCAACAATTGGTTCATACGCCATTTGTTCCCTCAGGATACTGGATCCCATGTGCACCATTGGTTTGGAATCAGGGTTTTCCAACTCCCCGACTTCGGTGGCTTGGACATGTTCTACGAATGTCGTCCCAGAGAATCCCACGTCGTGCATTATTTTCCGGCGCTAGGACTGGTTGGAAAAAGCGGAGAGGTGGTCAGTGTATGGCATGGTGTCGTGGTATGAAAGAAAGCTGCAAAGGGATGGCTTCTATTGGTCCTTCATGACTCCCTGGCTGGGGTCCAAGAGATGGTGCAACACTGTGGCTAGAGACGTTATCAGATATGGCTCGGAATAGAAACCAGTGGTGGTCCTGCTGTAACCTTTTACTTTGGTAAGCAAAGATAGATAGTGGTTAGCAGTGAAATACAGGACGTGCTGATTGGATAACGCGATATCGTTTGAAGCGAAAGGTACTGGATTCGAGTTCCAGAATGAACATCAACTCTGAGATGCAGGTACATCCAGGTGACGAGTCCTAAATAGGACGAAACGCGCGTCAAACTGGATTCCACTTCTAGCCACTATCCATCTTTGCTTTTATGAAAAGTTAGTTATCCTATTTTAATTATTTCATAAATGATTATCTTGATAATTTAAGGTAGCAACTATGTATAATATAGATAAATATAATAAGAACTAAATGATAATATATTAGCACGATACATTTTCGAACTATTCGATCATATATACATTTGTTAATTTTTTTATATATGAAAGAGTAAAGGTCAAATTAAAAGAATAATGAAGTCAAATGATCTGGATCAGACATTACTCTAAGATGTTCAAATTAACATGCTTATGGTAGATTTACTAAAGAGTAGAAATTGTTTTGTAGACATGATTTGCTCTAGTAAATGACATAAGTCTAATGAACTTCGCCTTTTGACTGCACTGTTTAGATTGATTAAAGAGAGATTAATTGTTCTTAATTGCTATGAAAAAAATGTATTGATCACTTTGTTAAATACGTAGTTACTATAATCATCACATTTATATTTTATAAAACTATTTTCGTTTTAGGAGTTGTGGATTAAGTAATTATTTATATATTGGATATTTAAATAATGATATTATTCCTATGGAAAATGAACCACGTAAAGTACTTATTCGTGTATATGGTGAAGTATTAAGAAGTTGTACAGATTCAATTATTTCTGATTCAGTTAATTTTGCATTACTTTCGGAAAAAAGAATTGGACCTAAACTTCATGGTGTATTTCCTGGTGGACGAATTGAAGAATATATTGAGGTAAAATGGATTGAATTGTCATTTGTTAGTTAAATAATGGTTTTTGTGATGTACTTCTTGGGACTTTCATATTAATATTTCATTAGAGATGCTTAGTGTTCTGCTCTGACGAGGTAGAGATCGGACGATAGCTCTATGAATTATAGGAGCTTATTGTTAACTAACGATATATAACACAAGTCAGTCAGTCACAACGTAGGACCAGGCACATATATGCATCGGTCCAAGTTGCTGTACCTCGTTAGCACAACAAGATGAACACCGAATTGATAGAAGTAGTTAATTTAGTGGTGTTAATATATAAAAGAAAGGTTGCACATAAGGATGTAGTACAGAAAGGAGGACAGATATGAAGCAATTTTAATCTTACGGTTTAAGGGAAGATAAAGAATGTATACACCTGCGCCATTGTGATCGATTCTAAGCTATGTCACGCAGTCTCCAACCACTGGTTACGATAATCATGCGGACCCCAACCAAGTAGTCTGCATCTACCAACATGGCTTAGGCTAGAAGTTAGTGACTTCAAGCACTGATGCTACGTTTTGGTTTGACCACCCCTAACTCTCTTTCAAACATGTTAGACGATGTCTCTCATTATGCTTATAATTAGTGTTTGCCAAAAATAAATGATTGTTCGAGCATAGTTGCAACAAACGATCACCATTATCTGTTCGCTGAGTTGAGATACTTAAATGCCCACCTAAATGTCTTTCTGTTTGAGTTAAGCTGCCTAATTGGGCATTGAAGTCGCACACTACGAGTACTATGTCTGAGCGCTTAGCTTTTTGAAGAAGTTTAGAGAGCTTTCTGTAAAAGTCATTTTTCATCTGGGCTGCATTCAGTGGCAGCGTAGGCAGAAACGACGAAAAGTCAACGACGCGTGTCCCTATCCTTCCGAGTTCTTATAGAGCCATTTAGCCGGAAAGCACACAGGCGACTGTTAATGGGGATCCATTGTAATAGTGCTTGTTCTGCCCTTGTACTAAGTGCTATGCCTTCACCTGCAAGTCCACGGAAAGTAGTCATAGGGTCGCCAGATACACGGAGGGTGTATTTCGTTGGCTGTCCATTTTGGCGAGTTGAGGTCAAGTGAATGACCACACTGGGATCCTGTATGCGTGTTTCGGAGACCCAGCATGCATCAACCGTACGAGATTCTAGTGTCTTAGCCAAAGAAGCCTGTTGGCCGATTTGACATAGGATATTCAGCATGGATTCAAAAAGCTCGTCTGGCTTTTGCCAACTTACGTCACCTATGGCGAAGACGAGATATCCGTCTATCAATTAAGGAACGAGTATACCACGCAGCAGTTCGTTCTGTTCTACTTTACGGCTGCGAAACATGGCCATTAAGAGTAGAAGATACTCGTAGGTTACTAGTATTTGACCACAGATGCCTTAGAAATATTGCTCGCATCTGCTGGGATAACCGGGTAAGTAATAGTGAGGTTAGACGCAGGGTATTAAGGAATGATGGTAAGTCAGTTGATGAGATCATGAATCTTCGTTGACTGAGATGTTTGGGCCACGTGCTACGTATGCCTGAACACCGATTACCACGACGCGCAATGTTGACCAGTGTAGGGGATGGTTGGAAAAGAGTTAGGGGCGGCCAAACCAAAACATGGCATCAGTGCTTGAAGTCACTAACTTTTAGTCTGAGCCATGTTGGTAGATGCAGACTACCTGGTTGGGGTCAGCGTGACTATCGTAACCAATGGTTGGAAACTCTGGGTGACATGGCTCAAAATCGATTACAATGGCGTAGGTGTATACACTCTTTATCTTCCCTTAAACCTTGAGATTAAAATTGCTTCATAACTTTTTTCCTTCCTATACTATATCCTTATATACAACCTATAATTTATATACTACCACCATTAAATTAATTCTATAAATCCGGTGTTGATCTTGTTGTGCTAATGAGGTGTGGCAACTTGGACCAATGCATATATGTGCCTGGTCCTACGTTGTCGCTGACTGACTGACATAGGATACGTACGTTAAAGGCTGCAATGTGTAGTTTGGAGCGAGGTTTTTATTAGACCTGGGACAGTGTTTCGCGCACTAGAATCGTTGGCCATGGTGACACTTGAGGAGGAAACCGAGAGAGGAAGTTTAGTGTTGAAAGTGGAGGTAGAAGAAATAGTAGGAATTGAAGAAGGAGATTGATTATGGACACAGTGATATTGAGTGCTGTTAGGGGTATGAGGGCAGTTATCACTTCCTGGTTGCCCACACCATGGAAGGGTTCTTCTAGAGGTACCTGAAGAGGAAATTAGATTAGAAGTGGTCTTAATGACCTGAGAGCGTGACCGCAGTGCTCAAGGGGCAACTGCTTAGGGACGGTCACACCCGACCTTTTCGTGGGTAATTTTCGTGTTAGCCCCGTACTTGTTGGGACCTTACCGCCGGAGACGGATATCCGTGGGATAAGGCTCGGTGTGCATTTTCAGGGTCGACCTTTTCTAACTCCACCCTTCCTTGTGGGAAGGCAGCATCGCTGTAATGCGGGTTGTCTGAAGGGAACACCTTACTGCTTTCACACCTCTGTACAGTCAGCAGTACGACTTCGCCTTCGGACCTTTAGTTTGCCCCCAAATGCCCTGGTACGGCCGAGAGTGGGGAGAGTCCACTCTCCCTCTCAAAATGCTCTCATATGGCCACACGTATATAGCCTTTGCCAGGGAAGTCCTACTCACTGCCTTCTCGTGGCATTACTGTTGTTTACGAAATTGAGAGGACGAAAAGCGAACATTCAGCGCTTTAACCGGGTTGGCGGACACAGCGCGTCCACCTACGGGAGTTGAAAAACCCTGATTACAAATCAATAGTGTACATTGGCTCCAGTATCCTGAGGGAACAAATGGCGTATGAATCAATCGTTGGTCACCGGCTACCATGGGACTGCATTTCTTTACTATGTTCCACCGCCTTGTGGATTGGATCTTTCGGTCAAAGGCTCCGGGTGTGGTCTCCTAAGAAAACCACCTGTTTCAGTTTGGGCACCTGGACAGTATCACAGTCCTCACATCAATCAAATGAGATTTGTATGGCGCATATGTATCTGGTGCTCCTTTATACCAATATTTATGTGTTTAAACAATAATAATAATTTTAGTCTTACGGCTCTTCAACTGACCTGTCTGTCATGATAGGGCGAACGATTGTTCCAGCCAGTATAACTCGATTGGTTCATCACAATAGACAAGCCCGACCATCACATCAAGGTAGCACCAACGGTCGGGATATATAACACAAACATTTCAGCCGTTCTTGACCCATGTACAAGGGGATGATAAGGCATTTGTAAAAGAGATGTTATATTCTCCAAGATGTGCAAAATTATTGTGTACCTCGTCCGTCAATAACACAGATTACTGTTAATAGCGAGATTTGCAGAATATAATGAGTTCGTTCCATCTCAAGGGATTTTTATTCTCGATCATTTTACCAAATCCGTTCAATGTACAGTGTGTGCTTTATCTAGTAAATATTTTTGTATACAATTATTCTCTACCAATATGCTGACATTTTGCTGTTATAATTTTTACATTAATATAGTTTTCTGTACTCTTTTTGTTGTAACATTTTCAGTCCAGACCTTTAACTACACAGGAACTTCCATTAATTATTGAAGTAGCAGCACGGCATATGGCTTCTTTTCATAAATTATCCATGCCATTTTCAAAAACCCCATCATTCATAATAAGAATGTTTGATAAATATCTTAGTCAGTTGACAAGCACGCCTGAACATTTACATCGTCCATCTCCAAATTTTTCTTCAAATACTTTATCTAAATTACAATCAAAAGGTTTCTCTTTTGCAAATGATGGACATATATTGACGGAACCATCTTATGAAGAAGCTAGAAATATGGTATATGAATTATCTCTCATAGAGGAATATAATTGGATAAAGTAAATCTTAATTGTTTTCAAAATGTTCATTTTTTTTCCCTTACTAAGAACATTTGAAATAAGAAAACATCTAGTTATATAATTCTTTTCTCCTGAAGTATTCAGTGTAATACTCCTGCAAGTCAACGAGATATAAGATGGTGGTAACAGTAACATTCGTATTTGTTGTCCGTGTGAATGCATTTCTATACAGTTCATTCGGGTATTTTCACAGTTGAAATCATGAGTCAATTGAAGCTAAACCACCATCGAAAACCTGGAAGCACTGGACGGCCGTTTCGTTCTATTATGGGACTCCTCAGCAGTGCGCATCCAGTTTGGGTATATCAAGAACTTTCTTGGGCAACGTGTTAATGGAAAGTTAGAAAATAGTCATATCTTTTAATAAAATCAATGGACTGTCTTCATACAACCAATGCATGTATGACACATCCATCTCGCATGAAGAAGATGCGTAAATTCTTCAGTGTTATTCATCTTAAAATTCATTTTACGTTTGAGACAAATAAAGTTGAGTATACTCCATTTTTTGATATTTTGCCATCGAGGAGAATATATAATAATATCTGAGGTATAGTTTCCCGTATGAAAAACTCATGGGTTGTTCAACATATCTTTAGCGTCTAATAATGATGCATATTATATCGGTCTGTTGATTCATTATTATCAGTTTTCTACCACTCATCAAAAGTTGCTCTTAAGTAAGCAATGACGTGTGATTCTATAGTAAAGAATATCTGGAATTAACTGTTTGTAAAGATGTAAGGTCATGGGAAATGAAATGAATTCATTTCATCCACAAATGTTTGCTATTTTCATGGTACAAAAGTTGGTCATAGAAACCATGTAATTGTAATCAATAGATGTTGAGTAACTATAAACTGGTTTGTCAGAAAGCCTAAATGTATATGTCAATGCTTCCAGCTTGTTTTTAATGATAGACTCTGCGATTATGAGATAGGTCATTTTTAAGGTTTATTATGTGTATATGCTACTAACTTTAATCCTATTAGGTTGTTGGAGGCTGTCGACGCGAAAACCTACTCAACCTATGTTTTGTGCTAACTGGCACTTGTCGGCAAGGCATACGTGTAATCTTGAAGAAAGTGATTCACTTTGTGGAATTTGAGCCCGCGTCACCCATTGTTCTATCTGGGTTTCGACCTATCTTCTGTAGTACTGATATATTTACAATTGACTGATCATTTAATAGTAGCCAGTGTCATTTTTATTTATTCCTTTATTGGTAACCGAGTCCTTTTGATCAAGTTACATTGTAGCCACTAGTTTGACCACCTTAACATTGCATCCACTATGCTTTAGTCATACTTTTTCTATGTTATAGTATAACAGATAGTATAAATATGTATGCCATTGTTTTTGCAAGTTTGTTATTTCTAGAACAAACTATTTTACCCAGTGATCAGAAATGTTGTTTTTCACTTCTTTTTCTCGTTTTTGTTAATTCGTGGTTATTTATTCAGAGAAAAATTTGAAGTTCATTATGCTGAAGTATTCCCGATTGTATTTTGCCATAATGATTTCCAAGAAAGTAGGTTTGTGATTTTCTTATGTTTTTAATCATCTTATGGAGTGTATTTAATAATAATAATAACAATTATCAGTAGTTTTTTGTGGAGATTTCAGTGTCTTCATAGTTGAAAGCGTGAGTCAATTGAAGCTAGACCAACAAGGAAAACTTGGAAACACTAGACGGCCGTTTCGTCCTATTGTATAACTTCGTAGATTGGTTGAAGTTAGACATTAACACCATTGGATGCCGGCTCAGTGGTCTATCGGTTAAGTGCTCTGGCGCGAGACTGGTAGGTCTTGGATTCGAATTTCGCCAGGCGTGTTCGTGGATGCGCACTGCTGAGGAGTCCCACAATAGGACGAAATGGCCGTCTAGTACTTCCAGGTTTTCCATGGTGGTCTAGCTTCAATTGATGATAATAATAATAATTTTCCTACCATACCGCATTAGATTACGCACCATTTGGCGGATTCAACTCAAAATCATCAAATCAATTTCGTATTCAATTGTGTATTTTATGAAACTACCAAATTAAATATAACTTTTACAGTAGATTAGAATAACTAATCGATTACTCATTGCTCAGTTAAAAGTGTTTACTTATTTTACAGAATTTAACTACCGTTTTTAGCTTAGCAAATGGTTTCATCAATTAAGTTCATTTTGTAAAAACGTCTCAAGTAAGTGTTAAATGTGTTGTGGAAATTGTAAATGTATTTACTTTTTCAACGTTATTATACAAATAATAAAGATAATATTTCATTCATTTAGTCGTCTGATGAATTCAGTAAAGCAGTCGCAAGTCCCATGAGTGTATATTAGAGATGATAATTTCAAGGATCATCTGGATAAGTCACTACAACAATTATTTTATGAAGACTTATAATGAGCATCCTGCACTAATCAATCACAGGTACATATCAAGGTAAAGGATAAATCAAGCCAAGATATACTTATTTATCTGTATTTGTGTTTATTCTCAACCACTGCCTACGTCGACGTGCAATGTTTGTTGATGTAGGGGTTGGTTGAGTCAAACCAGAATGTGGGATTAAGTAATTGAGTCGATATACCTTAATTCACAAGCATGGTAAGCAGAGATGGATAGTGGCTAGCAGTGGATATCGAGGCAATACGCACAGTATGCACATATGCCAATTAGAGACTGACCAGTTGCAGTCCTAAACACATCGATGGGAAGATACAAACAAACAATACTAAGTGTATTACTGATAATGTTACTAGTTCTACTGCCCTAGAATATGTCTTGATAATCTGATCTCGCTTTCCTGATATGGTATGGTGGCAACTTAGACGGGACTGATTTATGTTCTAGGTTCCACGTTACTAGTGACTAACTGACTGACTTATTCATCTTTTACGGAGCTAGTTACATAAATCATTCATCAAAGTACATTTGATGTGTTAAAGATAACACCTTCCAGACTATAGCCACATAGCTTTGGTCTCATCACTCGATATCGTTTTCGAATAAAGTTTAATTTAGTGAAGTAATGTGTTTGTGGATATTTCCGTCTCCAGGTTTGATGACTTCACTAATATTGTTTTATTTAAAATCTTTTGGTTGTATTACATTTTCTAAACTTATTTCGAAACTAGGTTAGTGTTGTTGTTTCTTCCTTCCTTCCTATACTATATCCTTATATACAATCTATCTTTTATATATTACCACCACTAAATTAACTACTTCTATGAATCCGGTGTTGATCTTGTTGTGCTAATGAGGTATGGCAACTTGGACCGAAAATTTGTATTTTTAACACATGAGAGCTTCTTAATTATTTTGATGTAGCTTCTAAAAGAATGTCGTATACGTGCTGATCACTAGTTCAATCAAACAGATACTTCTTTTCAGGAGTTAATTAGATAGTATTCTGTATGAATAGATTTTATTCAGAGACTATTCTTTGATTGTATGTAAATTAATTATACAGATATGACATTTTCGAATTTTAAAGCATTATGTACCATCTTATTAACTTTCTATGTGGAGATGGATTTCACCGTTTTTTAAAGGATTTAATATGTCTCACTTGCAATATATACTGCTAAAATAGATGAGTGTCTTAGGAGCTTATCCAACTCACATTCAGGCTAAAACAATCAGGATTGATCTAGACATTGTTATTTTGAGACTAGTGATATTGCTCGGTCTGGTTAGGCAGAATTCGAACATGCAATTTTGTAGTGATGATTTTGTTGAAATCACAAACTAATATCAGTTAAACAACCATTAGAAACCTGGAAGCACGAGATGTGTTTCGTTTTAGCGTGGAACTCGTTAGCAGTGTGCACCCACGACCTCGCCAGTGGCGATCAAATCCAGGTCGTTTTAGTTTCGTTTGTAAACGCTTAACCTCTAAATCAATGAGCTGGAATTCGATGCTGCACAAGTTTAACTTCGATCGATGCACAATATTATCGAACATCTTTTGTTGCTTGTATTGTGTACCTTCTTTATACTCAATACAGTCGAGCTCCACTGATGAGAATTGTCAAATTCAGCGGCAAGAATTGTAAATAATTTGCAAATACTGAAAACAGCAACCAAAAAAAAACACACATCCATATTCCTTTTTTTTCTATGAGTTATGATTGATATGAGTCAACTACGTCATAAATACTGCATCCATTAGAGCTAACAACACTATTGGATTTTGTTGATTAAATTAAGACTAACAAAAGCATTTAAACTACATTACTATTTTTGTGTCACGAGATTAGATGGAAAAAAAAGTTTATCCAAAACTTTGGCATTAAACCATTTAGATTTATGTTTCACAGTTATTATAATACAGTTTAAATGTTTTAAAATCTTGATTGATTAATGTTTTGTTGTTAGTGTTGCTCAAAGGTATACGTATATACATATATCCGTATTATCCTTTTGTGTGTATGTGGGGTGTGTGAACAACAATAGCGTGATTTCATTGTAAAATATAACATAACATACAACACAGGCTAAAAATCTCATCTAAGCTAAGTCTGTTCTTCTTGTTATTACCGTTTAAAACCTTGTGGTATTTTCTAGAAATCTTACTTTTTTTTCAGAGGGATTATTATTTTTTTGGCATCATGCTTGTTATTGTTTTGACTTGTTTTGTTTTTCTTGCTTCCTTTCTTTAAATGTTACATTGCAAATTTTAGTAATCTAGGCTAGTCCTTCAATTGTTATATTGGTTTCGTAAAGTTTCACATGCTAAAAATTCTCACATTCATAAAATAGTCCATCAGTTCTTATGTTTATCATTTCATTATTTTAAATGAAAAAAAAGATATAGTACTTAAGGGTATTCGTTTCTACCGAACAGTTAACTGTTGTATGAGGGAATTCAGAAACCCGGTACAATAACACAAGACTCTTACAACAATAGTACTGATTAGGTATTCGTGTCGCAATTGACCTTTAATTGTAAATGTGTTACTGGTAGTAAATAATACTAATTAGACTAATGATCACACTGCAATCTGATTGATAGAAGTCAGTCGGCACTGAGGGACTAGACAAACATGATGTTAATGACTGTTATATAGCTGTCAATAAGTTGTGCCTCGATTCTACTCGAAGTCACTCGCAATTCGATTGTTTATGTAGTAACGTCTCAGGTTGTGAAGCTGAACGACACAAGCTCGAATCCCACTGGTTGCATCGGTCGTCTCAAAACTACAAGTACCCCCTTGTTGACGAGTACCAACTAAAACAAATCGTGGGCCGAGCAGGATTTTCTTTTGGTTATTTTAAAACACCTAACTGATAATGTAATTCATTTACTAGGTATATCTTTGACTACCCAGCTTTTAGAGTTACACTTTTGTGTATAAATTCAGATCTTTAAACCCATGGTTATGAGAGGTTTGAACTTGGTACCTATTGTTCTAAAGCCGATGGTTTAACCAATAATCCTTTTTTCTACTGGTAGTGGCGTTTCATTTACTAAAATAAATTTCAATAATCCTTTCACGTATAAAATGCCTTAAAAATTATTGAACAGCTATTGCTAAATAAAAAATTGTGTTTTTATTCTTTGATGGTGAAGATGCTAGATAACGTGTCTCCTGGAAGCTTGTTCCGTTTTATTTAAGTCATCGTATTTTCTAGTGAAATAATACTACTCTGTATAGGCAGTGACTAGGGCTTCTCTCGCAAAAGCTATAAGCACATGGCTGCATGAAAGCATTTTCATCGGGAGGGAAGAATCTCCGCACCCTCGGTCATACCATGGCATTTAGGGCATCTTAAGCCCGCCTTTTTCATGTTAATACAAAATTATTATTACCTTGTTGTTATTTTCTATTAGATAACCTACTTCTTTTAAATGATCCAGAAGTTGAAAAGTTCTATCGTATTCTACCAATCGACTTTGAATACTCTGGTTATAATTATCGGTAAGTAATGGGAAATTATAATAACTCTTTAGATTTTTTCTTCATATTTTCATGTTTTATTGAAGTGATCTAACTTCAAATATATTATGTAAGCTTATTATTATTAAGCCTTTATAAGCAAAGATGAATAGTGGCTAGCAGTGGAATGCAGGACGCGCGTTTCGTCCTATTTGGGACTCGTCAGCTGGATATACCTGCATCTCAGAGTTGATGTACACTCTGGGACTCGAACCCAGTACCTTTCGCTTCAAACGCCATCGCGTTATACAGGCATATCCAGCTGACAAGTCACAAATAGGACGAATGTCGCGTCCTGCATTCTACTGCTAGCCACTATCCATCTTTGTTTACAATGCTTGTGAATTAAGGCTATATCGAGGCAATACGCACAGTATGCACATATGCCAATTAGAGACTGACCAGTTGCAGTCATAAACATCAATGGGAAGATTCAAACAAACAATCCTAAGTGAATATAAACTTTTATGCCTTAAATTCTTTGTTTATCTGGAGACATTTTCATAGTTTGACGTATAATATAACATACTCAAACCATTTATGGTTAAATTGTTCATGTCATAGGATTCAAGGAAATCGAAGTCTTAACATATAATTTGTGTCGTTCAAAAGTTTTTTTTACATGTATCGAGATTATGAAGATTTCTTACTCACGAAGAATTTTTCAGTGAAGTTGAATTCTTCGGACTGGATAGTTTAGGTATGAAGCTTTCATTGTTTTGCTAGAAAATAACATCAGGATATACTTCAAAAAGTAGTGAACTAATGGAAATTTTTCAAAATTAACGAATAGCTTATTCTATCGATATTGAATTCGTCTCTACTTACTACTTATGGATTGGTAATCGTTTGTATCATTTTATTATTGTTTACACTGTTCATCTTAAGGATAAGACGACTAACCAGTTCACGAATAAGAATACTATGTAATATTCAATAAACCTTTGAGCTACTACAAATATCTCTTTAGTTATAAGACTTTACTTATCAACAATGTGTACCAAATTTTTGACAGTAATTCAGTAACAAGGTTCGGAATAACAAAGGTATCAATCAGTATCAAAGGTGACAATCAGACTGATTGTCACAAAGTCTACGTAAAATAATAAAATGATTAATGAAATATATACTTCTAATTGTTTCACTCCAACAATCTTTTTATCCGATCACAATGATTGTATACGCTTAAATTAACAAGATTTCAGTACAATCAAAGATCAATCGTTGATACTTCAACTACCTTGTCAGTTGTCTTATAATGGAGTGAAATATATTTCACTCTACTACATTACGTAGCCTTTAAATACTTAAGCAATGTTTTCTGAGTTTATGAGTTATTTTGAACTATATACATTTTTATGATATAAAACAATAAGTTTTCCTGACTAATTTAGTAAACCTTTTAGACTAAATCACCTTACATAATTTGACAACGTGATACTAAAAGTCTAATGTGAAATATTTCAGGAATCGATCTATTTCCAACCGTAACGAGCATATAACATGTGTGAGATTTGAGTAATGCAAAAAATATTAGGTGTCGAATTGTATGTTGTATGGATTGTTGTAGCTATGACATAGTGATTCAGTTGATATAGCGATTAATCGTAGTGTTGTGTGGAAGAGCCATCAGTTGTCAAATGAACTTAAACTAACCACCTGGTTAATAAATTAAGTAAATAAATAGGGCCAGTCACACGCATATTAGAAATGAATATAGAGGAAAAATTAATGAATAATTATAACAAGTACAAAATAATTAGTAGGATCAAAAGGATACATTTTTACTCACATTGTGGTGTGGGCTACTTATATCCTCACAAGTAGTATATAATGGTGATCGGGCATTGAGTGTATTTCAATAGAAGATCGATAAGGAAAGAACGGAAACGAAATGCAATTAGTATGAAAATTCATGAACAATAATAATCGGAAACTATGGACTGATATTTGCAGAAGAAATGGTCAAGATTGAGACAATTGATTGATAGTTTGCAAATTAACCGTTTACTGTATTGTTGTCAGATTTTAGTGAAATAGTCTGTAATTTTCATGTCAAATACATTCGATTGTCCAAACTCGTGTTCTCATTCACTACAACATGAATTCTCACCTATATCCATTTGAAACAATCCTTGTACAAACTCCTCATGGTAAACTTGTAATCTTACATTGGTGTATACTCCTTGTATTTAAAGTGAATAATATGAGGTTGCTAAAACAATGTTTCAGGACTTTTCCTTGTCTTCTCATAGATATTATTGATTACTATCATAAATTGATCGAAAATACTGTTTTTTTCATGGTATGTTTTAATTGTTCTTTTTCCTGTGTGACATTATCTGAGTGCTTAAACCAAAGCAAGTAATTTTCTCATAAAATGTGAAAATATATAACTTATTAACCAAGTGTTGGTTTATTTTCTCGGCTTCAAATTGTATCTCCTTGTTCAAGTATTAGATGCACACTACTCGGGTATTCAAACCGAGACAAATGAATTAGGGTTCAAACCCGATACTAATTATCATATATTATGGTGTGTAATAGATCTTGTCTGTAGTTTGGATCTTACTATTAAGTGAAAGTAATTGTTAAGACAACAAACTGTAACTAATTATCCAATAAGAATTATATTGTACTGACAGTAAGTGTTATCTATATACTGAAATACAATAATTTATTATCGCTTCTAGCTATTTATCATCCACAATTTTGACCTAACTTTTTGCGGTTTTCTCAAATCAATCTACAACTTCTGATGATTGAATCGATTAGCTTATTAATTTTATGTATGTAAAGTTTTGCTAAAGAAACTGTTACGTGCCTTCGTAACTTTTATGCTTGTTACTGTGTCCAGCACTCAAAATTATATGTACATTGCTAAGGAGTCCCATAATAGGACGAAAGGGCCGTCCAGTGCTTCTAGGTTTTCTATAGTGGTCTAACTTCAATTGACTAATGATTTCAACTGTGAAAATTCTGAAATCTCCACAAAACTCCTTCTGATTATAATCATATGCTCACTAGTGACTGACTTCAAGATACATGTCCTGGAGTTCTTGTGGGAAGCAGTAACTTGTGGAGTCCAACCACGTCTGTTGTGAGATAACAACTCATTGAAGACAATTGGTGAACGGTTGCTCAAATTTCATGGATTGGTTGAAGTTAGACATTAGCACCGTTGGATGCCGGCTTAGTGGTTTATCGGTTAAGTGTTCTGACGCGAGTCTGGTAGGTCCTGAGTTCAAATCTCGTGAGTGCGGGATCGTGGATGCGCACTGCTGAGGAGTCCCACAATATGACGAAACAGCCTTACAGTATTTCCAGATTTTCCATGGTGATCTAGCTTCAATTGACTCATGATTTCAGCTATGAAAATACTGAAATCTCCACAAAAGCCCTTCTGATTATATACCAATCTTAAAGAAGTAAACCTCAGATGTTGTGATCCATAAATTTTTTTTGGCTGTTTCATGTGTAACCAAATCCTACGTCGTTCACGTTAAGCATACATTTGAAGCAACATTTTTTGATAATCTTTGAACTGTAAATTGAGGGAATTCCATTCAAAATTAATTTCTTCATTTGAATGGTTCTTAGCCTTATTTATTTTAGTTCTTGATTATTTTTGGTGATATTTCGCTCTCATTTGATCGATTTTTTCATGTCTTTCCTTTTTTTGCAAAGTGCTTTTGATATTGGGAATCATTTTAATGAATGGTGTTATGATTACACAAACCCTAATCGACCAAATTATTTTCACAACATTGAAAATTACCCAGATCGTTCAAAACAAGTTAGTTTTTTTTTTGTTGATTTTCCAGTGTTGTTCAATTGTTAATGTTGATAAGTCTTATCGATTTGAACGCGAATCAGAGTATGATGGAACATTCTACAATCCCAACGTGGTGTGCTATTATTGGTCAGTAGCATATTATGTCGTTAACGGATTGGTTGAAATGTGATGTTCATTTAACAGACGCTAACATCTATAAATAACTATGATTTTCTGTACAAGAACGAACCTTGGAGTAAAGTATTTTTCTCTTATACTTGCATCTTCTCTCTGGTGTTCAAGTCGCTGAGTAGTTCTAGCCTGTCGGTTACCAGAATAGCTTAGGAAAACGAATATAGCGTTCAAATCGACAAGACTTATCATATACTAAAACCAAAAAGCTGTACAATGAATGGTTACTTGGTTTTCTAACTAAATCCAGTCCATGGTGTAAACCATGGTTTCGAGAAATTATTGTCGGAAACTTTCAATTAAGACGTCTTTTTAGAACTAATATTCTCACGTTGTCAACAATAAAACTAACATTGGTTGGTTCGTAATCTCAACAAAAATTCAACAAACTCCACAACTCTATACTGATAACCATCATGTGTTCATCAGTGACTAGCTTCAAGAGGTAACTCTCGGAATTCTATTGAAAAGTCATGAGTTCAACCGTATCGAGTTTAAGACAGTTACCCACCGAAAAAAATTGAAAAATGGTCTCACAATATAGTGAATTGATTGAAGTTATACATTGACATAGTTGGATGCCTGCTCTGTGGTTTAGAAGCTAATCGTTCATACAAGACCGATGACCCTGTGTCTGATTCCCACGCACGGGATCGTGGATGCGCACTGCTGAGGAGTCTCATACTTGAACGATACTACTGTCTGATGCTCCCAAATTTCCAATGGTGGTCTAACATTGATCGGTTTATGATTTCAGTATAAATAAACTAATACCATTGATTTCAATAGATTGTTTTTCTAATCTGCTGCACTTATTTGTGTACCACTTACTGTCACTTTGAATGAGTCATAACTTAAGGAATTTATTACAGTTGGAAATATTTTTGTCTATGGTATCTCTATTTGTAAACTTCTTTAAATTGCCAAGTCAACATCTAATATTATTGATTTATGTATATCATATTGATAATTGATAGATCTGATAGTATGTCAATGTTAACACCATGTTTATTGTTTAGGTAATACTTAATGTAGTATATGCACAATAGGAATATCATTGATATATAGTGTGTATATGTAGTAAGATTCTTTCTATACTAGAATATTTATTATATTGATAATTATAATCTCACAATAACCATGGATCAACTTCTTTTCAACATAATCTCATTGAATAGTCCAATACAGTTTGTATCTAATAATAAATAAAAAATTACAGTTCAGAATAACATTTATTTATTTAAACACATAAATATTGGTACAAATGGGCGCCAGATGTATATGCGCTGTGATACTGCCCAGGTGACCAAACTGAAGCAGGTGGTTTTATTAGGGGGCCACATCCGGAGCCTTTGACCTAAAGGTATGTTCCACAAGACAGTGGAGCATCGTGAGGAGATGCAGTCCCATGATAGCCGGTGACCAACGATTGAATCATACGCCATTTGTTCCCTCAAGATACTGGAGCCCATGTGCACCATTGATTTGAAATGAGGGTTTTCCAACTCCCTCAGGTGAACTCACCATGTCCACCAACCCGGTTAAAGCGCCGGACATTCGCTTTTCGTCCTCTCAATTTCGTAAACAACTTCCGTGGTGCGAGAGGGCAGTGAGTAGGACTTGTGTGGCAGAGGCTATATACGCGTGGCCATATGAGAGCATTCGGAGAGGGAGAACGGACTCCCTACTCTCAGTCGTACCAAGGCGTTTAGTTGATGAATTCTAAATGATTTATCCATTACCTTCTTAAATAGAATCCATAGTATAACATTAAATAAGAAGAATATGTATTTGTAAAATCTCAGCGAATGAATTTGAAGTAAATCCAACGTTTCGCCTGACGATCTGGTCCAAACCTTTTCAGGGAAACTTTAGTATAAACACATAGTATTGTTTGCTTGAATCTTCCCATTGATGTTTTTAGGACTGCAACTGGTCAGTCTCTAATTGGCATATGTGTATACTGCGCGTATTGCCTCGATATAGCCTAAATTTACAAGCATGGTAAACAAAGATGGATAGTGGCTAGCAGTGGAATCCAGGACGTGCGTTTCGTCCTATTTGGGACTCGTCAACTGAATGTACCTGCTGGGTTCGAGTCCCAGAGTGAACATCAACTCTGAGATGCAGGTACGTCCAGCTGACGAGTCCCAAATAGGACGAAACGCCAGTCAAATTGGATTCCACTTCTAGCCACTATCCATCTTTGCTTATAGTATGTAAACAGTTTTGAAGAAAATATATTCCCATATTTCTGTATGATTTTATTCAATTTTAATTATTTTTTTAAACTTATATTTATACAGAAACTATTTTGGAAATCATATCTAATTGAAGCCAATTCAATTGTAGAAAATGATCATTTTAATAAAAGAAATGGTAATTTCAATTTTGTTGATCATTATGACAATAATAATACTAATACTGCTACTACTACTACTAATAATAATAATCAAACTGTAGTTGGATTTTCTAATCACCTCCATAATGAGGAATATGATGATGAAATTTTATGGATTGAAACAATTTATGGTTCATTATTATCACATTTATTTTGGTCTGCATGGTCACTTGTTCAAAGTCAATTATCAAGTATTCAATTTGATTTTATGGTAAGCATATTTTACCATGTAAATACTTAGTTACTTACTTACGCCTGTTATTCCTCGTGGAGGAGCATAAATGCCTACCAGCACTCTCCATCCAATCCTGTCCTGGGTAATCCTTTCCAGTTGTTATTCATTCTTTTCATATCTGCTTCTATATCCCGGAGTAATGTATTCTTTGGCCTTCCACTTGTCCGCTTCCCTTCCGGATTCCAAGTTAGGGGTTGCCTCGTGATGCAGTTTGGTGGTTGCCTTAATGTACGTCCTATCCACTTCCAACGTCTTTTCGTAATTTCCTCTCCAGTTGGAAGCTGGTTTGTCCTCTCCCATAAAACACTGTTGCTGATAGTATCCGGCCAGTGAATATTGAGTATTTTTCGTAAACAACTGTTTTTAAATAGTTGTACCTTCTTGATGATGAATATAGTAGTTCTTCACGTTTCAGTTCCGTACAGTAGAACTAACTGTTTTGACGTTCGTATTGAAGATTCTCACTTTGAAGTAAGTTGACAGTTGTTTTGAGTTTCATATGTTCTTCAATTGTAAATAATGAAAGTGTATTCCTTGAATTTTAGGATAATTTATTATCCTGTATATAAGAGGTAAAGATTAGTCATATTGAGGATAAGATGATAGATGTTGTACAGTTTCAGGTGATTGGTCATTGTTACATTTGATAATTAGTATTGAAGGAAGCACACTTTATGTTAAGTATGTTATGGGAATCAATCATTTGATTATTCATTGAACAACTTAATGGTAAGTATCAATCTGTTTTTGTGTTTTAATTTAATGGTTTTATCAGCATGACCCTTGAGATAGTAAGTTGTCTACTCACAATTATTCAACAGTTCTGATGTGAATTATCTCCCCTAGTTTAATCAAATTCTTTCAGTATCTTTTAAGAGTACGTTGTTTATACATATGTTCATGTCTCAGATAGCGTTAAGTCGAATGAACATTTACTTGAACGAAAATAGTGATGGAAGTGTTGAAAGAATATTTGTCATTTGTGATATGGTTCAAAACAGTTACCTCTGTATTTCTTCAATCAAATTCTACTTCAAATGAATTACGAAACTGTTGGGTATTCGAACTCTGTAAACCGCCTTCTTTTTGTTGTATTTGGAGTTTTGTCTTTGTGCCAAAATTCCTTACAGTATCCATCTTCCGGTTTTACTACGAGCAAAGATGCTTTTTCTCTATTGATTCATTATTCTCTTATTATACTAATCTTTCATTTCACTCAGATAGATATTAACTATTTTCATACACGGATATCTATTTCCGTAATTATATTTCTTCTTTAGTCCCATACACTAAATCTTCAGGGCACGATTTATCATATGGATTACTCCGACCTTAGTGAAAAACAATTCGGTTGAGTTATCTAGTTACTCACTATAATGATACTTACTTACGCTTGTTACTCCAAATAGAGCATAGGCCGCCGACCAGCATTCTCCAACTCACTCCTGGGCCTTCTTTTCTAGTTCTATCCAGTTTTTGTTCATTCTTCTCATGTCTGTCTCTATTTCTCGGCGTTGTTATGATTTTGACTTAGACTGTAGCCAATTGTTATGACTTGATCAAGGTAGTCGCTGATTCGTTATGACCTTACGAATTTAAAAAGGACGTAGTTCGCGTAAATTATCCACCAATAGAATACGCCTACGACCTTCACACTGTGACAATGACGTTCGATTAATATGAGTAATCTAGCGCCCTTATTGGTCCTTATCCGCCTAACCCGTCCACTTGAGTCCAAAAACACCAATAGCCGCTGCTGTAATGCGAATCGTTTATTTCAAGCATACTTTATCTATATACCAGACAGGCAGACCACACCACACCATAAAATAGAAAATAATATTTGTACAAAACCAGGCCAAATGAAGCTGTAAGCGTGGGAGACAATAATCAATAAAACTGAGCATAACGTAGGGACAGTAAATCATATAGTAATAATCAATAGGTCAAAATGAAGCTAGTAATAAGATGAATATAGATATAGATAATCCAGTTACTGAATAGTTATACCATAGGAATATAAATAGATTAATAGTCTAATAAGAGGTCCCGTAAGTTATCAGTACTTACTTTTTCCTAGTATATAACAGGCGTAATGTGTTCCTTGGTCTTCCTCTTCTCCTTTGGCCTTCAGGATTCCATGTGAGGGCTTGTCTTGTGTCGCAACTAGGTGATTTCCTCAAAATGTGCCCTATCCACTTCCAGCACCTCTTCCTAATTTCTTCCGCTGGAATCTGGTTTGTTGTCTCCTACAGTTACTTGTTGTTGATAGTGTCTGGCCATCTGATCCGAAGTATCTTGCGTAGACAACTGTTGATAAACACTTGTATCTTCTGGATAATGGATTTCGTAGTTCTGCAGGTTTCCGCCCCATACAGTAGAACTTTCCTGACATTTGTATCGAAAATTTTGATCTTGGTGTTGATTGACAATTGTTTTCAGTTCCAGATGTTCTTTAGTTGTAAATATGCTGCTCTTACCGTAACCAAATCGCTACTTAATAAAAGTATCAGTGTACTTCAGTCACTGAGTATTGTTTTTCAGCTAATGTTTGAAATGTCAACCGTTTTTATTTGATAAAACATGCTATCTTTCTAGCTACCTTGTATCAGTACGTATCAAAGTTGAATAGATATACAATGGAACGCATAAATTAGTGATCAGGGTGCTTTCTGAATTAACCTTGAATAAATAGATCTATTCATAGAACTATCCACATAGATGACAACCAAAAGAAGACTCAAGTTATAATCGTATTTGAAGTGTTCTGTTAAGTGTTTTGAGAACTTCTTAATATAAGTTACGTAATTTGAAACATCACATTATGGCATTTGGGAATTCAAGTTTAAATTTAACGGTTCGCACTTAAAGAATACTTATCATGCTGTAATATAGTATGTATCTGTGGATGGATTTTTATGCAAATTTTCCAATTCAGTTTTGCAAATAGTCAAAACGGGGAACAAACTAGTCTCATATTTGAGTGTGTGTGTGTGTGAAAGAGAGAGAGAGAAAACTTCCATACAGTACACAGTTATTCTTCTAATTATTGAAATATTCTAGTCTGAGGGGGTTTTGTGGAGAATTTAGTATTATCATAGTTGAAATCATGGGTCAATTGAAGCTAGACCACCATCGAAAACCTAGAAGCACTGGACGGCCGTTTCGTCCTATTATAGGACTCAACTATGAAAATACTAAATTCTCCACAAAACCCCCTCTGATCTATAATCATATGCTCACTAGGGACTGACTTCAAGAGATATTTCCTTGAGTTCTAGTGGGAAGCAGTGACCAGTGGAGTTCTACCAAGTCTGTTGTAGAGATATCAACTCACTGAAGACAATTGGTGAACGGTTGCTCAAAATCGTGGATTGGTTGAAGTTAGACATTAACACTGTTCGATGCCGGCCGGCTCAGTGGTCTATCGGTTAAGGGCTCTGGCGCGAGGCTGGTAGGTCCTGGGTTCAAATCTCGCGAGTGCGGGATCATGAATGCGCACTGCTGCGGAGTCCCATAAGAGGACGAAACGGCCGTCCAGTGCTTCCAGGTTTTCCATGATGGTCCAGCTTCAATTGACCCATGATTACAACTATGAAAATATTCTAGTCTGTCTTTATATTTATTGTTTCTTTTTTCTTTAGGATTATGCTAAAGTTCGTATGCAACATTATCGTCTTATGAAATCTTGGTTACCTCGGGAACATTTATGAAGAAAAAAAACGTACATATCAGAATTTTTTTACTGACTTGTTTGTTTCTTTTTTGTGTTATCACAGAAAAAAAAATAGATAACCATTTGTTTAGTATAATTTCTAGGATAAAACAAATTTAGATTGTTCACATGGTAATAATAATGTTTGTTAACTTTCAATTAATTTACTATTGAATTTGTGCTTTTAGTGTACGTACATTTATGTTTTACTATTTAAGAAAAAAAAGCCTTGTTTGTTGGGTATATGTGTCTACACATTTGTTAGTAGATTACACATTGCCCGGAACCCGGTTAGTGGTATTTCAAAGAAGAAGAGGGAGGAGGAGGAGGAAAAAATGCACCACAACCTGTGATATTAATGAGAAAATTATTATTATTATTATTGGAACAAAGTGGATAGCTTTAACCTTTATTCATAAGTGCCGTTTCCGTGCTTTTCTTTTTCCTTACTTTTAATTACCCTTTATTTCTTTTCTAGTCTTCCAATTGACCCTTGTAATTATCATTTTCAATTGTTGATCATATAGTTTTGTCTGTTTGTTTATTTTTTGTTTTAAGATTCATTCCAATTGTTTTCTTCATATTGTTTGTTATTCATTGACATATTCTACTATTTTTGATATATATATCAACGTATAGAGAAAAAAATATTTCCAGTGCTTTAAATACAATGATATATACTTTAGGATTAACAACTTATGGTTATTCATAATATCATAAGTAATACTGGTAATTAGATGCATATATTTATAAAACATATCAGGTGATAATACTTGGTAACTTAATCGGTGTTCATATAACCGTTGTTGATGTTATCAGAAGTGTAAAAAGCTCCCAAATTCTTTGGTACAGTCGAGAGTAGAGAGAGTCTGCTCTCCCTCTCCAAATGCTCTCACACAGCCACGCGTATATAGCCTCTGTCAGGAAAGTCCTACTCACTGCCTTCTCTCACCACAGGTGTTGTTTACAAATTTGAGAGGACAAAAAGCGAATGCCCGGCGCTTTAACCGGGTTGGTGGACATTGAGGGTCCACCTAGGGGAGTTGGAAAATCCTGATTCCAAACCAATAGTGCACATGAGCTCCAGTATCTTGAGGGAACAAATGGCGTATGAATCAATCGTTGGTCACCGGCTACCATGGAACTGCATCTCCTTACGATGTTCCACTGTCTTGTGGATCAGATCTTTAGGTCAATGGCTCCGGGTGTGGCCCCCTAAAAAAACAATTTGTTTCGGTTTGGGCACCTGGACAGTATCACAGCCCTCACACAAATCAAATGAGATTTGTGAGGCGCATACATATCTGGTGCTCCTTTGTATCTATAAATCTGTATTTAAATCAAACTAAATGTCCCAGTATTTTTGTGTAAACAAATACTGTGTCTAATGCTTACTGATTTAGAAAAAATTATAGACAAATTGTACTATCTTGCTTGCATCTGAATGGTTCATTTATAATTTTTTTCGTCCTCAACTCTTGTTTATAAGCAATGATGGATAATGTGTAGCAATGGAATCCAGGACAATTAGTAACTTCTAATCACAAACTGACATAACCTAAAAAGCGATTAAAAATGATAAGGAACTGAACAATTGTGTCACTTTTAATTTACTTAGTATTGTTTGATTGAATCTACCCATTGACGTTTAGGACTACAATTGATCAGTCTCTTATTGGCATATGTGCATACTGTGCGTATTTCCTCGATATAGCCTTAATTCACAAGCATTATAAGCAAAGATAGATAATGGCTAGCAGTGAAATCCAGAACGTGCGTTTCGTCCTATTTGGGACTCGTCAGTTAGATGTACCTGCATCTCAGAGTTGATGTTCACTCTGGGACTCGAACTCAGTACCGTTCTCTCTTTTTGTTTGTTTTTACTTACACTTTCCCATAAAATGTCAATGACAAATTAATCAAAACTACTGTTCATCTAATTGATAAATAGCTTTAAGAATATATTACTACAAATATAAGGTTATAAATAACCTTGTTGTTGTTGTTTCTTTTAATTATTGTCTACTAATAGGCAATCATTAATTAGTAATAATGTTAGTTTCCATCGACAATATTTACGATCGACCATTAATTTATTCGTCTGACACAATTCTGTTCTATTTGAACTAAAGAAACTAACTATATTAATTAATTAAAATGGTAAATAAGTTTACATACTGTTCTTTTGTTCATTCAAATATAAGATGTATGAAGTTTGGATGTTTTAGAATTATTTACACTGATTTACTGTAATACATTAAATAGAGATATACAATAGTCGGAATTTTTCATAATTCTTACACCCACCAACAGTATTGATTATTGAGATAAATAGTAATATTAGAGTAGAAAAAACTGTTAGATTATATTTGAATCTTATTTGTTGCTATTGATAAAGTTTATACTCGACTATCAATAATCTGTTTCTCGAAAACGAGACGTACCTTCTTCATAACTCTATAATTATATGAGAGGTAGGTCATTAAAAAATAGACAGACGTAATGTTAACACAATAGATTTACTTTTATATTATCTGAAGATCCATCCATTTTTATTTTGCATGTTTACTGCTTTGAATAACTCATACAGAGGTGTTTTCAACCTATATTAACAGATACTCGCAAGTTACTAGTATTTGATCACAGATACCTTAGAAATATCGCTCGCATCTGCTGGGATCACCGGGTAAGTAATAGCGAGGTTAGATGGAAAGTATTAGGGAATGATGGTAAATCAGTTGAAGTCATGAATCTTCATCGACTGAGGTAGTTGGGCCATGTGTTGTTACGTATGCCTGAACACCGATTACCACAATGCGCTATGCGGACTAGTGTAAGGGATAGTTGGAAGAAAGTTAGGGGTGGCCAAACCAAAGCGTGGCATTTTTTCTGCCATCTAAATATTTCAACAAGTTATCTGGGTGTTTTTTTTAATTTGTTTTAACCTATCATTATGTCTATTAATCGCATAACCTACACAGGCGCGTTTATAAAATGCTTACGTCCTTTCGCTGCAAAAATTACAAACAAGCACAATAAGAGACATCGTGGTGGTTGGCAATATGCTTTAAAGAGAATAAACAATCAAATGTCGATTCCCGAGCTACTTAACTCTAACTGTCGATCACTAATTAACAAGGTGGACTATCTCCAATTTCTGCTAAGTCAAAACATGTATCGTAATTGTGGTGTCATCACAATTCAAGAATCTTGGTTAACTGACTTACAGGATGATTGCTTAGTGTCATTACGTGATTTTAATACCTATCGTCAGGATCGATCAAACAATAAAAAGACTTGTGGTGGCGGAGTAGCTACTTTTGTAAACGTTAACTGTTGTAGATCTACTTTTGCCTGTTTCAAGTTTTCAAACGACTTTATTGACTGTCTAACTTTAAGGTGCCGTCCAAAACACCTGAATAAATACAAATATATTTATGTTACCAATATCTACATGACTCCAGACTGCACATCATCTGCGCTATCTGTCTTCACTGATAAATTTACTGAATTCGCCGTTACTGCCTTCAGTGATTCACTTTCAATTGTATATGGTGATTTCAATTCATGTGACTGTAGCTTCCTTACATCACTAGGTCACCTAAATGTAGTAGATTTTCCTACTCGTTTGAATTCTCATCTAGACTTGGTTTTCATTAATGATGTGGGTGCCTATGTGACTCGCAAACGTGCTCCATTGTCTAGTTCGGATCACTGTATGATTCGTGTCTTACCTAAAGTATATGGTAAACATGGAAAGAGTACACACATACACCATACCAAAAAAGTAATATATAGGAATTACTCAGAAGAAAATTTACAAAATCTAAAAAACATGTTTCGTACGACCAACTGGGAATTATTTACAGATGACTCAATAGAAAACACAACGGATGTTATCACCTCTTACCTTAAATTCTGTTTTGATATTTGCTGTCCTACCGAAACCTTCTTTTTGAGTTTTGATCGACTTACATCTCCACAACTAAAACGACTACGGAGGGTAAAAGAAAGGATGTACAAGGAGAAAAACACTATTGAAGTTCGTAAGTTAAATGATCAAATAAACCAAGAGATTAGACGTCTCAACTGTGTGTTCACTCAAAAACTTCTATCTTGAAGAAGCTCTCCAAGTATGTGGAAACTCTTTAAAGAAATTACAGGGGACAGGCAGACTAGAAGCGATAACCAGCTAAATGTTTGTGACTTAAATAAGTCCTTTATTCAACAGTCATCTGACATCATGCTCCCTATATCCAAGGGTTTGAAGAATAATTGTGCCCCCAGTTTCACTGAAAATGATGTCTGGAAATGTCTCCAGTCTCTGAATTCATCCCAATGTTTAGGACCTGATGGTATCCCAAACCTCCTTTTTTAAAAATGTGCCGATGTTTTATGTTATCCATTAATGAATATCTTCAACAGATCCTTCTCAACTAATGTCTTACCGAAAATGTGGAGAAAGATAAAGGTAATCCCTATACCTAAGAAGGCTTCTGGTGATAAAAATGCGAAACTTAGACCCATAGCAATAACCTCACCTTTCCTCAAAATAATGGAAAAATTACTGATACAACCACTTCAACCTGTAATAAAAGAGCACTGTGATCCATATCAGTTTGCTTACAAATGCAAAAGAAGCACATTAGATGCCGTTGCTGTTCTGCATCACAATATAGTGTTCGGGTTGGAAAAGGGTAAGAAGTATGTTAGATGCGCTTTCCTGGACTTTACTTCTGCTTTTGATTCTATTCCAAGACACCTCTTACTTAACAAGCTAATCAGTGTCGATACTGACAGCTGGATAACCAATTGGCTATGTTCCTACCTTTCTGGAAGAGAACAGTACACTGTCTTTGAAGGAAAGTGTTCAACATCTCTACTGTCTACTGTAGGTGTGCCACAAGGAGCTGTTCTTTCACCTCTGCTCTTCTCTTTTTTTTGCATGATCTGCCATCTTCCACAGAAAACACTTTTGTAAAATATGCGGACGACCTC